AAAGGTGTCAAATTTGACCACTTTTCACCACTTCTGGCACCTCTTTCCACGACCCCAATACTGGGCCGACATCATTGGAGGTCCAAACAGTGCTTATAGTGAGCAACAAGGGCCAGGGAGCGGGGGGGCAATGTCAGCTTTGTTAGCATAGACAGCCCTTCCTGGATGTATTGCCTGGCGGCAAAACTCGACCCCCATCGTCCTCGAAGGAGGGATCGCTCCATGAGGCCATGAATACGAAAGTCTTCTGTAGCCCCTCCTCTTCGCAATGAATAGGGCCTGAAAGAGTCCTTCAAATGAAAATAAGCTGTAAGCTTTTTAAAAGCTTGCCGAAAATGTGCTTTTGACTCAGGCCAAACCAACTCATGTCGTGAAACACCAATGTCAAACAAAGTCTGTGCAATGAGGCGAGTGGGTGCGTCGGTGATAATGACATTTTCGTCAACCTGACGTCGAAGGCCGGTCTTTGTATCCCCCAGCCTGACGATCATATTTTCACTGCCAAGGAGCAAATGTCGAAATTTGACACTAAAAATTTCACCGGTGCGCAACATGCCACAGAACCCCAGGCAAAGGCAAAGTGCCAGCCGGAGGTCTTCCATTTCAATACATCGCCCAACTAGGGCCTTTGCCACTTCAACTGGGAATGGTGGCGCTTGTCGGGGTCGCTCCAGCTTGCGCCAAATTCCATATAGTTTCCATGCTCCCTTGAGTTTACCTCGGCTCCAAGGGAGATAGTGGTGAAGTCCTGACAGAGAATCCGCTACGGACGTAATACTCGCCCCACTGACATATTGTTTGTCGATCCACTCAATAAGGAAATCGTCAATATCATCTTGTGTCTTCTCGAGACTAGGCAAAATTGCTGCGACAGCAACGAAATACCTGATCCTGGTCTTCAGTGTCACAGCCCTGTCATGCTCTCTGATGATGCTCAGGCGCGGCTCGCGGCATCGGTCGGGTTCTCGCAAGAATCTACGTGGGCTAAATGAAGAAGAGCATGACTTACCAAAAGAAGAGTGTTAATTTTTCGAATGATAAATCTGAGCTTCCGACTTCCTGTCCGGCCCTTTGAGAGAATTGACAATGCAACGTACGAGTCTGTGAGGTGAAAGAGCCTCCTGTTGACCAATTGCCGATTCAGGACCTTCCATAGAATGGTGAGGTAGATAGCTCGAATCTCTAATGCATTTATGTGTTCCTCTTGTGACCATCGCGTCTTGAAGACGGCGGTCCATGCCCACCAGCTGGCCTGAACCGACTGGCGCGGCATGGCTTTCGGATTCAACACTTGCCCTGTAGAAATCCTGATGTCGGATCCCGTGTGCCTTACTCGGGCGCAAAGATGTTGGTTCATGTTTGAAACTCTCAAGTGATCCCCACCAAGGCCTAAGCAACTTCCGCGCTGCAGGGGACATCTTAGAGGAAGGCGAAGTCCACAACCCGGGGGGAGTCCCATCCTATCAAACAGGAGCGAAGGGTCAAACATTTTGGTGAACGAAGCAACACTAGCCGCAGCAAAGAGTACAAACGACCAGATGGAAAAACTGTCCCCAATGAGACTGCATGTTTCGTCTTCGAAGGCTTGCTTGTTGGACTTGGCAGCCGAGGCTGACATGCAAAACAATGTATGATCTGCACCGTATCCCATCAAAACCTCTCTCTCCTCAGCCTTCAACAACCTGCCAACCCCCTGTTGGTCGTATACCAGATATTGATCCTTATATTGATAAGGCGGAAAGCGAAATGACTCGCTTTCCCACCTCTCCCGCGCCTGCTCTGGGGTTCTTGCAAAACCAGCAGGCCGGGGTGGTGGCCGACAACGGCGAATCGCCTTCATGAAGGTGGGATAGACCACGCTGGGATCAGCTTGGCTCCATCCATGGGAGAGCCATTGTTCACATTTAGGCCAGTGGCCTTCAACCTCCAAATCCTTGTATCCTTCTTTTTGCGTGACTGAAAGGCGCTCAAAATGGTCCATGTCCAAGTCTGTCCAACAAAATCTCGGCCTGGAGTTTGGGACTTGATTTCGAGGGTCTACCCGGTAAGGTTGCACTCTCAACATCCGGCTGATCTGGTCTCTTGCCTCGGGGTCCATGCTGGCGACATTCTCCACAAAGAAGTGACTCTTCTTACTTGGAAAAATTTCACGACATGCCGCAAAGACACGAATGGCATCCCTTATCAACCCACTGGACTTACCGTCCAGATTCAAACGATTAGCACGTACGCTGCTGAGATCAACGCAAGGGAAACCAGCCCACAAGTGAACTTCTTCGAAGTCCTCAACATGCTCCAACAGTTCAATCAACTTAGCCTTAGTGAGGGTGCGCACGTCCTCCCAGAAAATGGTCCCCGGCCAACGTCGAGCCATAGTCCGGTTTGCGGGTTTGTGAATGTCACATGCCAAATATGCCTGGACCTTCACACCTGCAATGTCATAGCAACGCGCAGCCCCTCCAATGCCGTTGAATAGGGACACGACTAATACCGGTACTTCCAAAGGCGTGTTGCCCCTCTCTTGGGACACCAGGAAAGATCTTCCTTCAGCGGACAACTGGCGGGAAACAGCGACAGCACCGCCCTTCTGGCTTGCGTCACTGCACGTGGTCACCTCATCGACCTTAGCACCTAGCCAAGTATGAAAGAGCGGGCATCCACACACAGCCAGCATTAGCTCGATTCTTACTTTTTCTATCATGGTGGCGTCCGCCGCCTTGGCACTGATGTAGTTCCACACTTCGTCAAACAGACACATGCCTGGTCTTCTGAACTGCAGCACGAAACACCAGCGACCCATGACCACTTGTAGTTTCTTCTTTGACAGCCGGGGCTGAGACAGCAACCACAAAGTGCTCTTGACAATCTTCACCATTCGCTCACAACTGGCTCCAATCCACTGACCCGCGCCACCTACAAAAGCACCTAACTCCACTCCACTCTTGGCACCAATTACGGACTTCCCTGGGGACACCACAATACCTGCGTCTCCCCAAAGCGCTTCTGCCTGTTCTTGTAGCAACACAAGTTCATCGCAGGACTCTTCAATCACTTTGGCTCCCCCAGCAAAATTGTCCAAATAAACGTGCCACCATGGTTGCCCGCGCCTAGCCCCTTCAGCAGTCGAGTTAATCATCCAGCTAGGCAAAGGAGTGGTTTTCTGTATTTGAGCAGCCTCGGAGAAACCTCCACTCAAGAGCACGGCCTCGGCAATTTCTTGCATTACCCCCACGGCTGAGCTCCAGCCCATGGGAAGTACAGCGCATGACAGAAACCAGCGGTCTTCCACCCCGGCCCTAGTAGCCAGCCCTAGTGTTTTTGAATCAAACCCAATATTGAAGCACAGCAGCTTGCTCCACTCTTCGGGCATCCCAAATAAGTAAAATGCACATGCCATGTCGGATTGTGCCAATCTCACAGTCTCTCCTTCATCCAAAACAATGTTCATCCACTGGGCTATATTCGGAAACTTGCTGACCCGTCCTGGGATCGTCCTGAGAACAGAATTCACCGGTACCAGGTCCATAATTACACGCAACACGCTCTCACCTGAATCCAAGAACTTGGGTTTTGGAACTCCAAAAAGGCCGTTCAGAATGCGTTCGCCTCTGTATGTGGCCACGTCACTGGCATGAGTCCAGCGGCAAATTCCTCGCCTTACCAGCTCCAGAGCAACACTCAACCTGTCACTAGCCACAACGTGCACCTTACCTTGAAGCCTGGGGAGCAGCTGACCAGTGTCGGGCACCAGACACCCAAAAGGATCAAGGAGGAGCTCACGGGTACGCTCACCAACCCAGTCAACTGCAGAGATTGAGCCACCATGCCCCTCAGGGGGTAACCCAGGCCTAATTCGCTCCAGAGAGAGTGGTTCAGCTTTGCATACTTCCTCGCCGCTGTAGGACACCGATTTCTTACTAAAGTCCTCACGAATGTCACTCACCGACCAGTCAATCAAGCAATCGTCCTTCAAAACGCGCTCAACAGTCATCCTAACTGAAGTCACCAAATCACTCTGCGCCGCCGACGCCTTCGAACTCGACCAACACACACACCCAGTTGCCAAGTGGTTCGCAAAGAAAACCACCAGCTCACACCAACAAGCAACTGCAAGAGAAAACCGAACTTGAGACTGATTACGAAGACAATCCATCACCAGTTCTCTATTAACTGCAAAAGTTTCGACTGAATTCACACGGGGCAAGGGAAAAATCTGTCTCTTAGAGTGTAGCCCTCGTGATAGCTGGCCTTGAAACACGCTTCCATTTTTCAGCGCTGCCAAAGCGCGGAAAGTTCGTCCCAGCAGGCTTTTATTTGCCTGGGGGTTGGAGAAAACTTCAAAGTAGAGGCTGATGCCCAGCACGGAAAGACTTCCAGCTGTCTCCAGCGTCTGATCCAAAAGTGGCCCGTCCATCAACCGAGCCTCTACTCCTCCTTTCCCTTGTCGCCCTTCTCCACATTCTCGTTCTGCTGGCCCTTCGGCTTTTGCCACGGGTTCTTCCACAGCTTCTTTCCCCAGGAACCGCGGCCACCCCAATGGTTCCACTTGTCCTCCTTGGCGTCCTTCCCGCCTTTTCCTTTTCCTCCCTTGTCGTGCCACGGCTCGGACTTGGTCCAGCCGCCTTGTCCTTTGCTTCCTTTCTGTCCTCGGGGTGGCCTGCCCTCCTTTGCGGTGACCTTGTCCATCAAGCGGGAAAACTTTCGAGCTGCCAGCGTGACTGCAGGCCCCGCTGCTGTTGTGTGGTCCGGCGAGAAGATCTCGAGGTGCCGGGCAGCGGTCCAGTTCTGATCCAGCCCGGCCTGCTCCAATGCTAACCAACGGGCAGCCAGGGCGTCGCCCAGCCGCCCCAGGCGTCCAATGCGGAGCAAGTCCATGCAATTGGCCAGAAGGAACATCTCCCTTCCGTCGCGATTCTGAGCATTCACCCCCCCCGAATGGGTGAGAGTGTGCCAGTAAGTCAGGACCTTGGTCCCTTGAGACACTGGGTTCTCGTGTTCCGCAGCGCCGCCTAACTCGTTGAGGCGCAATTCGATCTGCGAGATCAAGAGCTCGAGCACGGATCCCTCCTCTCTCTCGCTTTTCTTCTTTAGAGGTGGGAGTAGTGACAAGTCCTCCTCCGAGCTGTTGCCGGCCTCTGCGCTGCTTGCTGATGAATCCTCCTCTTCCGAACTGCCTGAAGACCCTCCTGAGTCTCCTCCATCTGGATCTTCTTCTCGCTTGCGTTTCTTCTCTTTCTTTTTCTTTTTCTTTCTCTTCTTGCCATCCAAGAGAATCTTCAAAGCATCGATTCTCTTGTCCTTCTTCCGCTTGGGGGTCTTCTTCTTCATCCGGGCAGCTTGGGCAGCCTGAGTGGCCAAGGTCGCCACCACTCCTCCGTCTCGGCGCCTCAACCTCAAGTTCTTCAAAATATCTCCTCTTTGCCCCTTGGATGAATCGTTCAGGCCGGCTCGGCGGTCGCCAGCTGGCCTTGTCTCGCCAACAATCTTCGCCCCCGTAGTCAATGCGGCCAGAGCATGGCCTGCATCTCCAGCCTCCTCTAACTCCTTGGGCTCTCCATCGAAATGCACTCGTCTCCCAATCCCCAAGTCCTGCTGCTTCTGCCTTACCTTCTCCAGCCGTTCTCTCAGCTTTCCCGGCGCGGTTGAAGGGGCTCCAGCAGCAGAGGTCTTCTCTTTGACCTTTCGCTTGGGTGCAGCGGACTTCAAAGTGCCGCCCTTTCCTCTTTCCTTCCTCAACGCGCCAGGCCGCATGGCCTGTTCTGTTCCTTCTACTGCTCCTCCTCTCAGATCCTCCACATCCTCTCCAGCATCTCCTGCTTCTGGATGAGCCTCGTCCTCTGCGGTGGCCCCTCCAGGGGCTAATAGCTGCTTCAACAACTTGCGTCCTGCCACGGAAAGACGGTGTCCTGGAAAACCGGATCCACTCCAGAGGTCCAGGCGACGCACATGGAAAACACCGTCCTCCACCGCACATGGTCCCTCGTTCAAACAAATGTGAAGAGCTCCGGGGCGGCGATTGAAAAGGCTTGAAAGTGCCGGGAGCGCGTCTTCTCGACTGGCTCCAATGGCTCGTACATGCACCAACATGCTGGCATCGAAGGCCAGCGTAGTGTTTACCACTGCAAAAATACCTTCCACATCTTCTCTGCCGAACACCTCTCCAGGCACGGTGGTCACAATCACATTGCCAGCCTGGGGTGCCAGCATTTGCCATCTCATAAAATCTCTCACATCGTAGGTGCCGAAGGGTGACTCCCCACCTTCCGGCTCTCTTGCCACTACTGGGATGTCCCCTGAAGATCTTATTGTATCAGGAGTTACTAAAGAAGTTATAAAGTTTACAGGACTTAGCTAAGTGGTTAAGTTGTGAGTGAAAAGCTAGCAACTTAGCAGGTTTGCTAACTGGTTAGCTAACTGGTTAACAGTTTGTATATAAAAATGCACCTCGGTTAGGTTTTTGTGTTTTCTTAATCAAAAAATATACATTTACATAAATATTCACAGTGTCTTTGTATATTCTCCCTGATAGACATGCTTGTGAATTGACTGTTTTCTGCTTCAAAAAGCAAAAACAATTTTGTGTGTTCATGTGAAAACACATTCAAGTGTGCCTTGGAATGTGAATCCATTGTCCAGGCTTTGTTGTTTCCAAACACAAACAGAGTTAATCTCTATTTGTGTTAGTGTAAAATATTTTGGTTTTGGTTCCAGGTGTAGTATGTATAGGAGGATGGACATGGGTGCATTCTCCATAAGATTGGGTCACTCATGCAACCCCAAATCCAGAGCAACACATAGGGCAATGGCCTTTGCCATGTACCCTTTCTCTACAGAGTTAATATCTAGTTAGTGTAAAATATTTTGGTTTTGGTTCCAGGTGTAGTATGTATAGGAGGATGGACATGGGTGTAAGATTGGATCACTCATTGCGCTATTTGGAGAACACTCTGCTGGACTCTAAACTTGGTGAGTGCCAGTGGGTTTGACCACCAAATGAATCCAGTACAGCATGGGGCATAGCTATATTAGCCCAAATGGACTTCCAAATGGCACCTCCATGAATTCCCAAATGGCACTTTGGTTGAGCCTGCCCACTCTATGATAGATCCAGGACTTGATCCTTTCATTGGGCCTATCAGGCATCTGGCATTGGATCATCTGCAGATCCCCTCAAGAGCTGTTCTCCAGGTTTTATGTCAAAGTAGCTAGTCCAACAAATGTCCACTGATTGATATGGACAACCTTAAACACCAAAACTCTTGATCATGCAAACGAACATATCTTACCATGAATTAGCATGAACCTATCTTTGGCCTGGTTGGCCCTTGAATGGGACATGAAAATCACCCACATGAAGCCATCAGGCTTGCAACAAGTAGTCCATGACATGTTCTGTGAAATATAGGTAAACTTTAAGCATCAAAATTCTTGATCATGCAAATGAACACACCTTACCATGAAGTAGCATGACTCTATCTTTGGCTGATTGGCCCTTGCATGGGGCATGAGAACCACCCACATGAAGCCATCAGGCTTGCAACAAGTAGTCAATGACATGCTATGTGAAATCTATGTGCCATGAGGACACTGGCAAGAACACATGCAAGAACACACTAGTACCACCAGGATGTTTTGAAACCTGCTGGAATGCGCTCTTTTGCTCACTTCATTTGAAGTGGCACAAGGATTCTGAAGTCCTTGTTTTCAAAGTGTGAATGTGCAGTGGTGCAAGCCAAGGAAGAAGTATGCACAAACTTTGCAATCTCATTCTGTCTAACAGTAGCAAAGCATCCAGTCTTGTCCACTTGAAGGACTTCGAGCATGGAAACCAAAGAGTAAGCAATGTTGTCAATGTCCACATGCATCCAGACTTGGCAAACTTGCAGGCTGTTGGTCGAACTGTGAAGGAAACAAAAATCACCTTTGCTGCAAATACCTGCTGGTTGGAGGTGTGCCTGTGAAGAGCTGTGCACAATGGTGTCAGCAGGCAACTCAAAGGCATTTAACACAATGGCTTTCAAAGCCTTGCTTGCAGCACCTTTGTTGACAAGCCTTGCCTTCTCTGAAAAGAGGTTTGGTTCCTTCAGCTTGGCAAGGTCATGGCAAATAAGCTCTGAAAGTACACTTTTTTCAAAGGTCAAAGTGTTGCTGATCGAGGTTGCATATCCTTAACAGGGTAAGGGTCAATGAAACCTGTGGTGGATAATAATGACATTGGTTGAACATTGAACCAACACAGTAAACACTAAA